TTGAATAATAGTGTCGAATGAAATGAGACAAAATAATTAGAAGAAGAGATGACATCATAGCAAGAATGGTTTAAGAGGAAATTAAAGTGTGTTGTTACCCGGTTGCTCCAGATGGTACTAGTATCCTTTGTCCATCCATACAGTACAATCCAGAACATCCTAATTAAATGAAGGCTCAAGTTCACGAGTGCTGTGGAGGATGGGGAGGGAGTGGATGCATGATTCTCCGGGGTTGTATGCGGCATCCCGCAGCTGAGGAACACTTCCATGCACTGCGACTATAGACTCTTTTAAGGTAGCTAGCTACAATCAGTCCCCATGTAAAAGCAACAAAACTCCAGCAAGCAACTTGAAACGTCATTCACGGTTCTCATAAGAGTCTCGGCATATAAACCGTCTTGGCCATCTCGGCTTTGTCAGACCCACTAGTAAGCACACAACTTAAACCTGAGCACCAAGAATAGCGCTTAACGACATGGCGTTGTAACTTATCCTCGTGTCGAGTTTTATCTGTGCAAAATTGCCGAATTATACTTTGCAGAAATGTGGTTCAAGCTCCTTTCATAAGACGCGAGTCAGGAGAGTTTCGGCGTGTCTCTAATTTAGCCCCACATACCTCCTATCATGGAATAAGCTCTGCTGCATTCAGGCCCACATTGGGTTTGGATCGGGTTGATCAGTACGTAGATGGGGAACTGTTGATCTGATGTTGTGAAAGGCGGGCGATTTGATTAGAGGGGGTGTTTATTGCCCTAGTCTACAATGGTTTGTAGAATTGTGGGGGGCGGGAAGGGCCAGGATATGAAACAAGTGAAGAGCACTACTGAAACAGAGCTTTGGCCATTGCATCAATTCTAAGTTTGTTGCAAGTAATTTAGAAAACCTCTCGAATTCTACCAGCACAGCTAAGACGATTTTGCGAGATTCCAATCACTGGCAAACCCGTCACGGGGCACTCAAGCTGGCTTGTCTAGCACAACCCTTCGTAATATTCACAGACAACTATCAATTTACAAGAACTATGGGGTGGTAGATTGGAGTCAATTTATAAGAACTATGGGGTGGTAAAATGGGGTTTTTACACCCCATATACAGAGCCATACTTACTGTTTCAAAGCCGACGCCCAGACTCAAGAGGACGCGAGTCGTGCTGCTACTGATGAGATGAACCGTTTCCCGCTTGTAAATCCCCCAGTAGGTAGGGTTTCGATGTGCTGCTGATCTGACCCTTGACCTTCCTTTCTTGAGCCGCGCTTTAGCTCTTACAAACGCGTATAAGGCCCTTCTGCCCCCTGCTTCTCGGGTTTCGAGCCGATTGACTAAACGAGCCTCCCGTTGTCTGCTGGTCAGAATGGAATACACCCTACCTTTGGTTGGCCACAGCCTAGCAATTTTCATCGTCTCGTCTGTCACGGTTGGCTTAGCGATAATTGCTGTGGCGTTGCGATGCTTTGTGCGGTTATACATCCTGCGCGCGTTTGGGTGGGATGACGCGCTTATGGTAGCAGCGCTGGTAATTTTCATCATCCTATCCTTAGTAGATGCTCTGTATCGAAGACTGACTACTAAATTGTAGGCGCTGTTCATATCATTGAGCGTGCTGTGTATGATAGGGACGGAAGCCGGGGTTGGCCACACGCTCGTGGACTTCGAGTCGTTCAGTCTAAATAGTATGAATCCCTCGGGTAGTCTGCACGCAGTGCAGTATGCGATGATAGTACGTTCCACAAAATTAATCCGCTCACCGTGAACGGCCTCTAACACCTATCAGTACTGGTGGCTTGGACAAATGCTCTACCTGTGGGCGTCGGCCGTCGCCAAAGTAGCCATTGCCCTTGCCCTCCTTCGACTGGCTGTCCGTCCACTGCACCGCTTTATCCTCTGGACCGTCATAGGCACCGTGGTATGCATCGGACTCGTCTTCTGGCTTATTCTGCTGCTCGATTGCCTACCAATCGGGTACTTCTGGGGGCAGATCAACCCTCTCGAGTCGGGCAACTGCTTATCAAACGATATCCTCCTCATCATCGCATACACCTATAGTTCTCTCACCATTGTCTGTGACTTTACGCTTGGGATCTTCCCGGCAGCGTTGATCTGGGACCTGCACATGTCGCCGCGCACAAAGGTGGCACTAGGTGCGATCCTCGGGCTGGGAGCAGTGTATGTGGCTTCCACACCCATGGACGGGGACGAGATAAATAATATTATAGTGCAAGCGTGGCCGTAGTCATCCGCCTCCCATACCTAAAACACTACGCCGACGCGGACTTCCTCTGTAAGCTTCTCCACAACCCCACCACAGCAAAATTATCTGACAATGCAGACTCGACATACCAAATCGCCATCTGGTCCGTCATGGAAACCGGCCTCGCCATCATCGCCGGCAGCCTCATTACCCTCCGCCCTCTCTTCCGCTGGTTTCTCGACGGCAGCTCGTCATATCGCTTGGATAGGCCACATTACGTGCGGCGAGGGAGCTGCATTGCCGGGGGTTATGCATTGTCAAGCTCCACGCCGAAGAAATTTGTCACCAAGGATGAGGTGAACTACTGGCGGCCGGATCTTATGTCTGTAGATAACTCGCACGCGCACAGGGTTATCACGTCTGTGTCGACGCCACTGGGGAAGAGATGCTTAAATGGCAGTCAAGAGAACTTGACGGGCGGTTGGCACGATGGAGTGCAGCATAAGCATCGGGCTAGTGTTCATCGCACGTTTACCGTGGAGGATGAGGTGTAGAATACAAGGAATAAAACAAATGGTACTGAAATGGATGGGCAACGCAAGTGCTTAAATGAGAAGTGCATTAGGGCACTTGCTCAACGTGAAAATCTTCTCTTCATTGTTCATGGAGATGTGTGCCATCAGAACAGGCCATCACCGTCTCTTGCGCGCACGTCCACAACATATGCCTGTTGGTATAGTGATCTTTTCTCGAGAAGGGAATCTGATTGTGGAAATGAAATATCCCATGTTTGCATGAGCCAAGGATGAGCGCTGCTTTATTGTTCGGCGACAGGGGTAATTCTAGGATAAGTGCATAAGGATTGGGATACCATGCTTACCCCGCTCATGCCCACTTTAATTAATGAGATGGATCAGATGCTGCTGGCTGTGGCATTGTCTTCCTTGGCCGCATGCACGGCCACGGACTGATATGAGATTGGTGGATATACCGAGACAACAATCTGAAAGTCCATAGAAAGTATTCCGTACAGAGTTACAACATGTTAGCATCCTGTGTTCTACCTAGGTCCAATTACCTCTATCTACCCTACCTTCCCCTGTAGCGCTCGATAGTGACCAGTGATGAATCTTCTAAGTGCTTCCATTTTACCGTACACTTAGCAGTATTGTGAGATAACATAGTATACATAGAACATAATACTGTATTCAGCTATCACTGCTCTTCAATTATAAATCATGTTTCTTAGTCCACAGGCTGCGCGCAGCACTCTATCTTACAAATTGGGAAAATGATAACCCTATGATCTCTAAAGGGCTGAGGGATTGACAGCGGATAAGAAGTCAGCTACCCTTTTACTGTACGTACTAGTTTCTAGGTTGCCTGTCAGCTCGGAAATGTCTCCTAGAAGGGAAGGAACGGGAGGGGGCTAGTAAAGAGAGGTAGAATCGGAAAAGAAAAGGCCCAATGATAGCTTTTACTTGAAGGAAGGTTAAGATAAAGCCTGTATTTCAGTTTAAGGAGAAGAGGAGTTAACATCAGACATCTTAGTAGTAGGTGACGCCTAGCGCTGGCCACCATGCTGCAGCCACTGCAGTAAAGAAGGCCACAAATCTTAATGTCCAACTCGATCAATCACCGAGTAAAACTGTAGATATTTCCACTTGTGTGATGTTGACAGGCTCCAATTTTTGTTAGTTAAATAATTATCAATACACGCAATTTGTTATGGCAGTGGTCCAATCGCAGCCTTCGTTGTCTGATTACGTTAGATGAAAAGAGGGGGAAGTCCTAACAAATAGAATTGCTAACTACCCCTCCATGTTTATCACACCCATAACTTGCTGAAAGTTCTGTGGTTTATAAAGAGACCATCCACCTAGGTATACCGTTTCTTTCCTTTCGATTGTGTTGATGATGGGTTGTTAACCTTTACCTATTTGAAGCATTCCTTTACAGAACATTCTGGCCAAACAAATAATGAGGTACACCGTTTGCATACGTGACCTTATCTCTTCAAGTCATCAAGCATGCTCGTTGTGTCAGTCTAATGAGGGAACCTTGGAGTTAAGATACTATACCAACAATAGAGAAAGGTTTCAAAGCATGACAGTGAATGATTTATTTCATACTGAGTGCTCAGAATGCTCGAACATCCAAACAGATCCCCTTTGTCAGTTCTGTGCACATATGAGGCTAGGACACCTTGCACGATGTATCCTCGTCTCTAAATACGACGCAAAATTACCAAAGCATAGACGGTACACAAGGAATACCAATTTCCTTGGGGGTTTCGATTTCAATTTGGGAACTCTGAAAGATGTTCAAAAACGATCTACGTCTTGTCAGACCTGCGGAACATTTGCCAGCTGCAACCTCAATAGCAAACCAGAATCGACTTCCACCGCAGACAATGATCAGACTAAAAGTGAGGTTGGATCCCGGGGTAATCAGAGGTATCAAATATGAACTGGTGATCGAGTTGTCACTTGAATCACTTGAGGCTTCCCCTGTGGCTTTTATCCATCGTACGATAGCCCCCTCTTCTCTCTTCATTCTATGAGTCTCCCTGAACTCCTAATAATCTACCTGTCATTGGATCAAGGAAACTAACGAGATCTGTCTTGCAGGGAAGGCAACTTTCATCGGGGCTGCGGGTGCACTATCGGGAAAAAATTTGATATCTCTGCAAAGGCCACAGCCGCAAGTAAACTGGAACAAAGTTTTCACTTGGCTTCAAGACTGCGCAGATGGCGCCGGTCATGAGGTACCCCATCATCATGAAACATACGACTTACCAGTAGAAGAATTTCGCGTCATTGACACCCATAAAAGATGTGTCATATTGGCCCCTCAAGACTGCAAATATGCCACTCTAAGCTATGTTTGGGGTAGAGGAGGTGACCTCATACAAGCAAAGCTGGGGAATATTGACGACCTAGGCAAGAAAGGATCTCTTGCAGATGATAGCTGCTTGCCAGCAACAATCAATAATGCAATAGAGGCATGTTTAAGCCTAGGAATATCATTTCTCTGGGTTGATCGACTTTGCATATTACAAGACGATGAGCCATGCAAAAAGGCAATTCAGCTGAATGCTATGGGCAAGATATACAATCAGTCATATCTAACCCTAGTTGCTATGGCAGGAAGTGATGCACATTACGGTCTTCCTGGAACAAATGCACAGAGGCGATCCCCACTGTGGACAGGTCAAACACAGGGAATATACCTGCTTAAAGACATTGACGCGTACGATAAGATTTGTCGATCCTCAAAATGGCAAACTCGAGGATGGACATTCCAAGAAGCAATCCTTTCACCAAGATTACTAGTATTCACTGATCAAGGGGTGTTTTATCATTGCCATGGGAAGACCGCACTCGAGGATGAGGACTGTCCAGACCATTACTTTCCATTTTCAAATGTCCAAATCCCATGGTCTAAATATCCGGATTTGTTAGGCGAATTCACAAGCAGGGATCTTACTTGCAAGTCTGATATCCTCTTCGCATTCTCGGGGATTTTGCACTTCCTTTATGGACAAAACCATCATTATGGCTTGCCGTTTAGTGACTTTAGTCGGGCTCTTCTTTGGAAGACTAAAGATGGAAATTATCCTATGCGATATCAAAACATGCAAGAAATGTTTCCATCATGGTCTTGGTCGTCCGTTGATAATGAAATACGCCTCTGCCCTAGAAACGGTCAATGGGAGAGAATTTCTGTATCGCTAGCACAGTTTGCTATCCCGTCCGCCCAGAATAGGCAAACTCAATGGAAAGTTCTTCAAAGTACATCAACAGAGCCCCATAAGCTAGATTCTCGGCATTTCAAAGATCATATTTTGGCTTGTCTTGCTGTATTAATAGCCTGGAAGGGAGGGTGTTTCCCAGGTAAGCTTCCGGAAGCTCTTGATGCCAAGGTTACTTGGGAAGAATATGTTAGTATCATTCGCAGGAAATGGACATCGCTTGCCCAGATGGGTGATGAAGCATACTGCATGCAAGAAGGCCTCCTCTCTGTGAGCGACCAAGAGGCAAGGTTTCCACTTAAAGCCCAGCATGCTTGTCGAGATGGATGCATCCTTGTTTATACCCAGTCACTTCGGCTTCGGATGAAAGGCCCTGAAGACTCCATGGGCTATGTCAAGCTTCTCGATCGAGGTGGCAACATGGTTGGGTGGCTAGAACCTACTTCCATTAACTGGGGACGCCTTCGTCAAATTCCTGATTGGAATAATGGAGCCAAATTCGATGTCCTGGCTTTGTCCTTGCAGTACGAGGCAAAATATACTTATTCGTACTCCGCAACTCATCCTGCACGAAGCTATGGTCGCGACGTCGCGAACTGGCGTGACTCGAATCAAAAAACCATCTTTATAGACGACCACATCGATCGCATCAGTCCCTACGATGTCCACTTGGTCACTGTGAATTTGATGGTTGTTGAGTCAGAAAACGGCATCAGGAAGCGCGTTGCACTTGCAGAGGCTGCTTTGAAGATTTGGATACAAGCAAAACCCCAGTTTCACACCTTTATTCTTGGATAGAGATTCTGTAAATAATAAACAGGTATAGCATATCGGCTTCTACCACATGTTTCATAACTCGCCTCTTCATCAGTTGACCAGAGGCTGGACCAATGTCTTAGGGAATTAGGAAACTACTTAGTGTTTCGATTCATCAAAGTTAAAAAAGCAAGAAAGCCACAGGGTAGTAGACCCCCTATTACCTATTAGCCAGTTCAAAACGATGACAGTAGGATATTTCTAACTTCAACATCATGGGGTTTTTACTATCCCATGTCGTTTCTAAAAATCCCTAGGTATGGATAAGTCAAGACAGGAGGAATATGCATAACAGAACTGAAAAAAAGACCATCTTCATCGGACATATTTCTTTGCTTATTACTATGAGTAGGTAGCCATCTGCTGCTCGCTCTCCAAATATGTCGTCTTCCGGACTATATCACCCATCACCTGCTCGCCCTTTCCAGCAGAAAAAAAACTTCCAGGTAAAACAAAAACATACAACAGAAGGGATTCGCTGGTGGTCACCCACCCAACTACTAACCTCCCGGCATGTGGCTTAAGTACGGCTGAGCGGACGGGAAGCCCTGTTTTCCACACCCTGTGGTTGTATGTACTCATATGTTCTTTGGTTATCCTTATATATGACATTTGGATAAGAAAACCGAAATATCAAGGAGAAAAGATCAGATACAGAGCATTGGTCAATGAAGAATCCTTCTGACTATGTGCAGCAAAAATATGTGGACTATACAGTAATAGAAAATAATATGTTGACAGACAAGAGACCAATGTATACTAGTTATCTCTATCTTGATCGGTGGGAATGCATTTCTGACTACTCCGTATTCTATTATTGGTTTAGGCCATGGCTTCGTCTGGATACATTCCCCGAGATTCCATGAGTTACATCAACCTCCCTAAATCTTATTAGAGAGAGTAACCGAGTACTTGCCAGAGATACACAAAAACATCCAACAGCATTAGATTAGCGACTACTTTATACGGCGAAAATAAATACTAAGTCATGCTCAAGACCGTGCACCGCATGACCCACCAATCTCCTAAGTAGTTTTGATATTGCAAAAATTATCACGAACAGCACCAAGCCTTCGCTGAAGCATCTGCAGGAAATTAACTATATCACTCATCACGGCGCTTAATATCGTGATATGCCGTTAATGACTCATCCAACCTTCCGAGTCCGCCCCGGGACACCCTTCTTCCCTCGCGGAATTCTTTAGAAAGCTGGATTGGTGTTTGTGAGCAGCTGCACGAAGTAGTCCTACAAAACTAATTCTATTAGTTAATCTATTCTCAGCCAACCAGCTTTATTAGATAATATATCTGAAACTGAGTCCCTGTCTTAGGTACCGGCTGTAAGATATTACTATACTTATAATAGGTATTATATTATATTACTGAGTTATTAGAGATATTATTACTCTTATCTCCGGGCTTTACTTAGATAAAGATATTAGTAAATATATTACCAGTACTGGTAATCAGATATATACTAAAACTAGTATTAATAATATTATACCAGTTACTCCAGGCCTGTTGGTCTATGGACTATTTATTATTATAGTCTGCAGTTTAGTAATTTTATATAATAATTATAAAAATTATAAGATTATTAATAATAGTTCTATACCTTCCCGGTCTTTATAAAATGCTGATTTCTTTATAAAAGACTACTAATTTCTCAAGAATCACTTTATTTCGTGAATACAAGTTACCTTTGTTAATTGTTATTATTAGACAAATCTATAGTATTTAGTAACTGATTTCTTATCTAGTCAACAGGCTTTCTACCCTGACAAGTAGATCCTATCACAATTAAAATACAGGTTCTTTAATATTATATTAACTATTTTTATTATACTACTATTATAGTTATACCCAGGTGCTGAGAGCATTAAATAAGTTATTTATTTAAAATACTAAGATATGTCTCTAATTAGTACAGAGAGTATCCTGAAGAATTACAGGTACTTAAAGAAAGATATATACAACTCTAAATACCAGCAGATAAATATAATAGTATCTGAAGAATTTGTTGGCATTAGCCTGACTGGCTGCGGATAAGTGACGGCCAGACGGCCTGCTTAGCCTGAGTTTGTGTTATTTGAGTAACCTCCTAAGCCAATGCTGGGTCCGGCGTAGATCCCATTTAGCCGGAATTACAAGGCATCAAGGCCCCATACGAGGGATCATGAGATTTCCCTCGCTAGCGTGTTCAACGTGAACAACTGATAATAGCGTAGTTATTCGACCATAGACTGTAGTGCTACGAAAATCGATACTATTTATATGGGAGATCACTGGCAGTCATAGGTTATATTCTGATCTCTTTCTCCTGCTCATCACTGGGGCAGTAGCATAATGGCCTCCGAGCAGAAGAGCAGTTGATCAGTCTCGCGCAGCGAGATAGCCTTGGGAACCTGGCAGTCGTACAGGCTACTGTCGAGGTGAGGGATCTTGAGCCGTTGCAGATTGAGAATGAAGGCAATCCGCCGCTAGAAGGAGGGCCCCTTCCGTGGAGAAGGGGGCCCAGTGCCCTGCGGCAAAGAAACTTCTGCACACCCAGCTGGCTTCACGACTAATACCAGGGTACCAGGGCATGCAAGCACAGGGTCCCCAGGCTCTTTTTCGTTCATCTGCAGCGGTTGATCCCTCGCATATTTTCTCCGGTACGGAGCTTCAATCTGAGCGTGCAACTCCATTCATGTTTTCCAGGCCTCATTCTTCTTTCGGGCCGTGTGCATGGGCAGTCAATGGTCGTAAACTAGCCCAGCAATAGCTTTGATTGTCCGGCCCCGAAGTGTTGGCTTGTATCCATCTCTTCTGCAGCTGGCGCTGCGGTGAGCAACCGAGGCGTGATCTGCTCTTGTCGTTTATCTCCCGTGCTGTACTCGGCGATAATAAACCACAATAGATAATCCGACATTCCAGATGAGCATACCATTATAGCAGATGATGGGGAAACCATATCGCATGCCGCAGGTCTCGCGAGCTCCCTAAATGGAGTAAGCCATATTACTCCGAGATCCCACGTTCGAAGAAGGACTGTCGCACATAAGGTTGTACGTCAGTCACCATAGGTTTTCCTTTTTTTTTTTTTTTTTTTTTTTTTTTTTTTTTCCATGCAGAGGATCTAGGATATAAACAGTGGTGACTAGCAGTAATAGGTGAGTACGTTGAGCTATATCCTAGTAGTATAGTTACTCTGTTTGTCTCCATGAAACTGCATGGGAGGTCTAAATCTACTTCCCCCTATTCTTATACATTTGCTCTAAATCACTCCACGTCAAGCCCAC